CGAAATATCCGAATACATATTAGTCATACTCTTACGATAGTTTCAATTCTTAGATTATGGATTTGTGGTTAATTTTGATGATCAAAATGTCTAATCTTAACTTTTTAATTATAATAAACATATTAACTAACTCTTTTGTATCACATGAACTATGTTTTTCTCAATACTATCTAGTTTTCTCATATCTGTTTTGTATCTGCATGCATATCCGCTTATATATCCGCATGTATATCCGTACCTGTATCCGATTTTAGCGGATATGGTTATAAAATTTTCTTACCGAGGTATATCCGTATCTGTATCCGTATCCGAGATGAGTAAGTTGATATGGATATGATAAGCATCATATCCGAGCCGTATCCGGACCGAATGCACCCCTATTACCAAGTATAGATTATTCAGTATCATGTAATAATCTTTGAGAAAATACTCTAAAAATAATATTAAATTATTTTTTAATTTATTTAATAATATAATACTAAATTAATAGTGTAATTCGTAATTTACCTGATATTATTAAAATAATTATACTATTTATGTGATTCAAAATTTATTCTATTTATTTTATTACTCATTAAATTATAGTATAATTCTTAATAGTATTTAGTAATATATTGTATGTTCTATTTATACTATTATTTTAATTATTTTATTATAATTTCGGAGCCGTATCCGGACCGAATGCACCCCTATTACCAAGTATAGATTATTCAGTATCATGTAATAATCTTTGAGAAAATACTCTAAAAATAATATTAAATTATTTTTTAATTTATTTAATAATATAATACTAAATTAATAGTGTAATTCGTAATTTACCTGATATTATTAAAATAATTATACTATTTATGTGATTCAAAATTTATTCTATTTATTTTATTACTCATTAAATTATAGTATAATTCTTAATAGTATTTAGTAATATATTGTATGTTCTATTTATACTATTATTTTAATTATTTTATTATAATTTATAAATAATAATTATTATAATTTAATTGGTTACTACTAATAACTTATTTTATAATTTATTTTATTTTATTATTTTTAAATAATTAATATTTATAATATTATTGATAATTATAATCATTTAGGAAGATGATGAGGTGCATAATTAATAAAAGGTTATATTTATTTAATAAAAGATTAATTAGAGATAATAACATAGTTAAATTTTATCAAAATTTGAGAGGGCAAAAAAGAAAATTAAAAGTTTTAACATCCAATCCTCTTTTTAAAATAGTATAGATATAGATATAGATTGAAAATGAGCCAATTCTTTCCCAAAAAAAAAAAAGAGTGAGAGCCATGGAGGTCCTTATCTTACTTTAATTAAACTATATCCAATTCTGAACATAATCAATACTTTGCCCATTTTGGGCATGAGCTCTCTTCTTTGAAAAAAAAAAACTAAAGAAAAATTACTTGTTCCTTTTCCTACGGCTACAGTCCAACTATAAATAGTTCTCTTTTATAAAAAAAAATCATCCTTCGTCTGTTTAATGGAGAATTTTTTATTTTTAAAACAATTTCTCACAAGTTAGCCTGATCCAAAACATAATAGCTCCTACGTGTATAGCCTTAACGTCAAAATCCTTGTGATCAGTTGGTGAGGTGTAATTGTCAAGTTGCTTATGAACTAATACAACATTGGCGAAGAAGTTTCGTGCATATGCATTTTAGAGTTTGATTAATTTTATATTTAGGTCGGGTTGTTTGTTACGTAAGTATTTTAAATTATAAATTACTTGAATTATAATGGTTTTCGTCCGATATCTTTACAGCTTTTTGTTGTAAAAATTAATCACTTGGGTCAAACTGATAGTAACTATGGGTTTTTTTTTAAATGTTTTCATAATTGTGATTATGACTAACAATAAGATAGAAGTTGAAGATTTATGAATTTGACCCTCTGACAAACAGGCCTAATTCCTTGCTTGGAATACATGAAGGGGTTCACGTGGGTTTTTGTGTGATCTTTTTGTTCTTTTTCAGAATCTTTTTCTTCAGTACCTTCATAGGTGCATATGGCTAATTTAAACAATAAAAAGATTAGGTTAATCAAGAGATTAGATGAACTCACATGCTTCATTCAACAATTCGTAATATTCTCACGTCATGCACACATGGCGATGCATGTGATCACGTCGCATGCACATGTTATTGTGCCTTTGATTTTGTTTAGATGAGTAGAAGATCCAAATCCTAAATCTTAAGGCGATATATTTGCCCACAAATGGATAGGGTTTGCTTCAGATTTATGTATTACTTAAATCCTTTTTATGTCCTTTTTAGAAAATTTAGACTTTCTATTAATTTCCTTTTCCCTCTTCTTCTATGAGAACTTGTACGTCATTTGCCCATTGCTATGGATAAAAGCGTAGGCTTTATGCTCTTCACTCCCTTTCTAATTATTTATTCTAACTTGTAATTAGATTCAAGCGTCAGATATATAAACTCCAATCTATACCCCATTTAAAAAATTTACATTCAACTCACGAAAAAAGAGAGAGAGAGCTATAGTAATAAATGCTGTTGTCAAAGGTTGTTGGGAATAGTAAGTAGACTTTAATTTCTTTGGGGAAGAAAAACTGTGACATTTGCTGTAGTCAAAATTGACTAGAACAAATTTTTTTTTTTTAGCAAAAAACAAGGGATATACCCTGTCATTTATATTATAAAGTTGACTAGAACAAATAATGTAAGGGGGCTGTTTGGTTGGTTTCCTAAAAACCAAGAATAGGAAATGGGAGCATGGAAATCTCCCATTTCCTATTTTCAACCATTTCCATCCCTAAAACTTACCCCAACATTCAATAAAATATTATTTTATCATCCAACTCATCTAATAAAATATCATTTTATCATCCAACTCATCTAATAAAATATTACTTTTATCATCCAACATCTAATAAATTATTATTTTTATCATCACATTATCCAACTCATCTCATCTCATCCCATCTCATATTTAAAAATCAATCACATCATCCAATAATATGGTGACAACTCATCTCATCTCCTTTAACTTTCATCTCCACCCATTTCCTCCAAAAAAACAAGGAAATTGATTTCCTTAAGTGTGGGTCACATCATCCAATAATATAATGACAACTCATCTCATCTCATCTCATCTCCTATTTTTAAGAATGAACCAAACACAAGAGAAAAACCTATTATAAGAAATAGGTTTCCTATTCTTTGATTTCCTTCTTTTTTAACCAATCAAACAACCTCAAAACAACTTTTTTTAAAAAATCACTCACATTATCCAATAATATTGTGACAACTCATCTCATCTCATCTCCTATTATTTAATTTCCTTCTTTTTTTAACCAACCAAACAACTATAAAACATTTTTTTAAGGAAATAGGTTTCCTATTCCTTGATTTCCTTCTTTTTTTTGTCAAGCAAACAGCCCCTAAGTACGCATAAAGTTTCAAAAACTAATCTATGTCAATCTTATATCTGCATATCCGGTAAGAAAAATTCCTTAAGGACCCAAAATATGGGACCAATAGGGGGGACAAGTGAGGTGTCCCCCTCCTATTGGATAATGAGTTGACCATCATTAATGATGACCAACTCATTATCTAATAGGAGGGGGACACCTCACTTGTCCCACCTATTAGTCCCATATTTTGGGTCCCTGTAGCAAAGCTCATCCGGTAAACACATCCAATTGGATATGAACATGTCGGTGGACACCGATATTTTTCGCACCTCTGCTATCAAGGGTTTGTAGGGGCTTATTTTTAAAAGTTTTTAAGCTACTTTAGATTTTGGTGGCTTTTGGATTTTATGATAAAAATCGTATAAAAATTTAGTTGGGTAGCTTATCTAAGTGGCTTATAAGCTACTTTTTCAAAAGGCGAGGCATAACAACTTTTTAAACCGGCATATTAGCTAGCTTATTTGATATTTTACCGATCAGGTAATATGTAGAAGCTAATTAACTTAGAAACTAGTTTGTCGAAAAAACAAGCTCCTCCAAACAAAGACGGCAGTCGCAAAACGCGTCTGCCGCTCTACATTCGCTCCTTTATTAGTTGTGTTTGGTATTTAGGAGTCAGATTTGGGATATGAGCTCAGGGTCGAGTTTAGCTTAGGTGGGATTGGGTTTAGCCTGGGGATTAGGTGGTCNCACCATATTGATTCATGCTCTGTGGGGCGGCAGTAAATACCCAAACCGCTCCACAAGGTGAAATCTCGATGGCTCATAACGCCCCCCGCGTTGCAAGGCGGTCTGATAGGATTCCTACTAGGGATGCTAAACCGTATCCGTATTAGAAAAAATATTCGTAACCGTATCTGTTACGATATGGATATGGTTACTCAAATCTATAACCGATAGGATATGGTTATGGATATGGTTTTGTAGTGAAATATCCGAATACATATTGGTCATACTCTTACCATAGTTTTGATTCTTAGATTATGGATTTGTGGTTAATATTGACGACCAATGTGTCTAATCTTAGCTTTTCAATCATAATAAACATATTAACGAACTCCTTTGTATCACATTATCTATATTTTTCTTAATACTATCTAGTTTTCTCATATCCTTTTTATATCCGCATGCATATCCGTTTATATATCCGCATCCATATCCGTAACCGTATCCGATTTTAGCGGATATGGATATGAATTTTTTAACTGACGTATATCTGTATCCGTATCTGAGATGGGGTAAGCGAATATGGATATGATAAACATCATATCCGAATCGTACCCGGACCGAAAGCATCCCTAATTCCCGCTCCTCACCATGACACTGATCCGGGCGTAACAAAATCAAATTGGGCCCTAAACAGACTAGAGCGGGTTAGATTGCGACCCGGACCCACCAACACAAGGTTCCAAAAAACAAAACAAAATAAATAAATAAATAAACATGTAAAAATGAGTCTAAATCCAACGTCTCTATTCGGCTCTTCACGTGCCCCTGTCTGAAAGCCACTAGCTCCCCATTACTCCCCGAAAGCACGTGCACCACCCACTGAACCCAGACGCAAGCTCTCCCCTCACTTTCAAAACTCCCAAAATCAAAGAAGAGGATAAAATCCCAGCCAGCAAGCAGAGATACGCTCCCACGCCCATCGCAACGATCATCACAGCGCTCGTAAGGTACGAATCTCTTTCATTTCATTTAATTTTTTTTTTGTCTAATTAGTGCATTTATTTACTCTCCTCTTTCTCTCAACGTCGTTTATTTTTTCCCTCAGTCGGATCCCTGCCGTTTGTTTCCTCGTTCATCGTTTCCCCTTGGCTCGGCCGCTTTCAGGTGAAACCCTAGACTACATCTTTTAAACCCTGGGATCGAGAATTTAGTTTCTGTACTTCTTGATTCTAGTTGCTCGATTTAGAGATTTTCTTTTTTTTTTCTTTTCTGAAGAGAATTTTAGGAGCATCAATCATCTTTTTTCCAGTCCTTGTAGAATATTATTAATTACTGTTAGTAATTAATTGCGTTATGAAGTCCTGAGAAATAACAGTGTGATGCTTCGCTCGTCGAGTTTCGGCTGGGAATTGAAGCCCCGTTCCCTAGATTTGATTGTTAACGGCCATTTGTCTTCTTGTCTGCAAAGTTGTTCAATTCCTCTAGGTTTATTGCAATGTTGTGGTTTCGTATGTTTTTGACTGATAATTTGCAGTACAGTTATAAATTTTTTTAAAATTTCTCTGGTATAAAAAGAACAATTATTCAATAATTTACATTTCTGCTTAACATCCCATTACCTCCCTGGGGCTGTATATTGCTCTACAAGTATCCTATTGGATTATAGCGTTCGCATTAATTTTGTTGATTTATTTTTTATTTTTAGAATGGAACATCAGATTTTGGATCCAATGAGGGTTTAATACGATTATCGGGTTTGTGCAAATTGAGACGAAATGACAGCATATGTTGATCAAGCTTATCGTGGATGGTCACATGAGGAGATACCTCGTCAAGACGACTCCCAGGTAAACTCTGGTGTTTTTTGAATCCTTAATTGCTCAATTGCTTAATTCTCTAATATCCTGGTATTTCTGACTATCTGCATATATCGGATAGATTGTGCTCTCAGTTTTTTTTGTTATGAATTTGCGTGTTCCTTTTTCAGCAAACGTTTCATGTACAAACAAATGCTCTCTCTTTTTTAGGTTTTAGCTTTTTTTACTCAAGGTTGGATTAGAATGTTGGGTAATTAAGAAACAACATGTGCAAAAAATGAGTGTTAATTAAAATGAGGATGCTACGATGTATTTGTGCATATAGATTAAACGATAAGATAGAAACAAAACTCAGGATTTTGCTCCTACTGATAATATAATGGAAGTATTGATTGAGATACCTTTCTCATGTACAATTATAAGATCATTGTTGCTATTTTTAGATTTATTCATTGTCATGATATCATTTATAGTGTTGATATGCTTTGTCCCCTGATGGTCACTTTCTGCTATCCACTTTCCTTACACTAACTGTAATGTCATTTATAGTTCTATTTTTCTTACTCTCAAATTGTATTGTTGTTTGGTTTTCAGGAAATTTCAACTTCCCAAATACTTGATCATGATTCAATATCATTTGGAAGGTTTGCATATGAGACATCATCATGGGAAAGAAGATCAATCTTTACCGTTAATAAATGTCAAGAGGAACTCGAGAAATTCAAAAACCCTGGTTTAGTTGCAAAAAAGAAAGCTTACTTTGAAGAGCATTACAAAAGAATTCGAGCCGTGAAAGCTTTGCAAGAGAGCCAGCAAATGGAAATGACATTGGAATATGGTGGTGAGAGTAGTATTTCAAGCCAAGCTGGAGAAGAAGAAGAAACAGGAGCACAACTTGAAAATATTGGAGGTGCGGTAGCTGATGATGTTGTTCTTCACCCAGAAGAAGCTCCAAACGAATATCACATGAAAGTGGTTAAAGATTGCAGCAAATCAATTGAAGTTCAAATTGCATATTCAGATACAGGGTTAGTAGTGTCAGATTCTGGTTCATGCAGAAATAACTTTGAAGAGTGTAAAGAGGCAGATAACACTATCTGTCCTCCTCAAGTGCAACACTTGGATATGGATTTAACAGCACATGAATCATCGTCAGTAAGCATTGAAGAGCCTGAACAGCAAGACCTTAGTGATGATGATGATAGAGGGGTTTTAAGGGAAAATACCATCTCTGCCATAAATATTGCACCTAAGATAGTTTCTGGAGAAGTAATTTCATGTCTAACAAATTCCAAAGTTGGAGTTGTGGAGCTCAAACCTTCTCAACGTATGGTGCCAAAAGCTATTCCATCTGTTAGGAAATACATAGACAGTGTATCAGTTCCTAAGCTGAAGGTATGCAAAATTTACATATACAGTTCTTCTTTCATCTTGTGCTGGCCATGAGATCTGCAAACATAAATTGAAAGTTTAGTTAAGAGAACATTTGAAGAATACTTTGTTCAAGACTCAAGGCCCAAGGGTAGTATCCAAAGTTTGGATATTTCACTCGGTATTATTTTTTCATGTAAAGTTAATATTTTCAAATAACCATTTGTTGCATGCTTTCAGTTTCTTGCTTGTTCCAGATGTATCTTTGTTTGAATGTGTGTAGTCTCAATTCTACATTGTTGATTATAAGAGTACTTTCGTTCGCAAAGTTTCGGTTCTGACCAGTTCTTCCTTAATGTTTTTATAGGAACCCCCTGTTCCAGCTAGAAATGGTCCGAAGTTGGAAAGCAAAACTAAACCAAACATTCAAAAACCATCGCATGGACCCAAATATCCAAACATACAGAAACCATCACAAGGACTGAAATATCCAATCCAAGAGACAACTGTGAAGTCTGGAAATGGTGTTTCATCGATCAAGGCAACTGCTAATAAAGTCTCGAGAAACTCTAAGTCTACCTTTGTTGCTTACAATGGACCACTTACAGAAGTACGCTCCAATGTCACCGTTCCACGTCCTTTTTCTCTTGCAACTGATAAACGAGCTACTGTTCCTTCTGGAAGTAGAGAAGGTAAACTTAAAGTGATCTCCAAATCCTCAAACCAAAAATCATCTTCAGCAGTTAAGGGGAAGGATGTAGTGAATATTCAGGTAATCTGTTAATAATTGATGCTCCTCTGATTTAGTGCAGGCTTTCTCTATCTTTGTGCTTCTTTTGTCTTAAAAGTGTGTCGCTCCAGTTATGAACTCTATTTATGACATCTTATGGTTGTATAGTCTTGAAGGCTCAAGGCACAACTCTCCCTCCAAATCCAGAAGACATCAGTGTGTTTTCATTTGCTTTCCTCCACAATTTAGTCAGTTTTTTTGGTTAATTTGGTGTTTGACACTCAATCTCCCTTTTATACAAGGCTTACTGAATCAATATTACAATAAGAAAAATCAAATTATTATTTTTGTTCTTTCCCCTCTTATCCACTATGCTGATCGTGGGATGTCTACAGGGCATTTCTAAGGGACCTGCCATGACTGGCAGCATGAAAAACGGATATTCAGAAAACAAAAGGTTGGTATTTGACAGTATTTTAGATTAATCATGATAATAGGGTCTTCGTACATATGCTTATGGCATTCCTCGATGTCAATCTTTGATTGTAGTAGTCATGAAGAGAAAAAGAAATCTCAGATATTGGAAAACCAGTCTACTAGTCTCAAGATGAGAGGTGCTACCGTCATAAGCAGCAGCATGAAAAACAGAAGATTAGAAATCAAAAGGTTGGCTTTTATTGGTTATTTCAGCTTAACCATGACAATGGTAGGTTCTGCTTTCAGATGCTTATGGTGTTTATCTGTGCACATGACTAATATATAGCGGCCATGAAGAGAAAAAGAAACCTGTGTCATGGGAGCAGTCTACCAGTCTCAAGGGAAGAGGTGCTTGTGTACCCGGACCAGTAAAAGCAAGGTGGGGCGCATATTTGCTCCCATAAAATATTGAGCATCATCTAGACTTCATGTTTATATTTTAGAAATATGCAGTGTAATGGTTAATGTATTGCTAAACAAGATCCTGAAATCTAAATGTCATTATTTCTTCCAGAATTTAAGAACTTTCATTTCTGAAAATGCAGGTCGCTTAACCTTCCTCCGTGCGGTAAATTTAGTTCCAATAGTGGTGCTGATGTTAGGTCCAATGACAGTATCAAAGACAATCTACGCAAAGAGGTACAATCTTGCATAAGCCTTTTGTTGTTTGTTAACATTCTTTCATTCCACATTAATAATGTTATCACTAGTGAAATTTGATTTCCTTTCGATTTTAATATTATGTCAACTTATCCAAATTTGAAAGATTGGTAGAAGGTAGGCAAATATAAACCGTAAGGCATCCTGATATCTGGTGTGAAAAGAGTTTGCTGAGTTTTGTTTGGCTGAAATGGACATGGAACTTATTCTGCAGGGAAGAAATCAAGGAAGGGTGACAGAAGTTCACAAAGCTGACACCAAAATCTTCACCCCTCCAGTTGCAAAACTAAGAACCAATACCGGAACATCCAACTCTGCGGCTGCCAAAGTTAGAACCGAAATGAAGAAGGTATATTTCATTAGAATGTATCTTACTTCTATTCCATTATTATCTAGGATGCTTTTTGTGCATTTTACATATTAAACTGAAAATTTGAAGCCTAAATTCTTACATTAAATCTATGTAGATGGCTTCATCTTGGACAAATAACTCATCATGTAACATGAGGAAGCCACGATTTGGTGAACAATCACTTGATGGGAAGAAACCAAGGTATTTATCTGAAATTGAGCTTAGAGGTTGTTTGTTTTTTGGGAATTCACAAGAATCTGTGGAAAGCATTGGTCGCAGACCAAGGATTCTTTCAGCCTAAAAAATTCTCAAACGAAAGTTTATTTTGTTGAGGGATTTTCTGGTGGATTTGTTGCCATGTCATCTAAATCCCATGTCAGAAATCCTCTCTTCTTAGCAGAATGTGGAGACGGTGCAAGAAAAATGCTCCATATTCAAGTTCAACTCCCTAACCCACCCCCTCAAAAAAAAAAAAAAAAAAAAAAAAAGAAAAAGAAAAACTGGAGTTTTGAAGATATTCAAGTTCAACTCCCTAACCCACCCCCTCAAAAAAAAAAAAAAAAAAAGAAGAAGAAAAAGAAAAACTGGAGTTTTGAAGAAAGGCGATTTAGTCAGATTTCTAAAAAATAGCCCCTAAGAGCCTTCTTTATTCACTCAGATATAGTACAAATTATGTTCTTTTCTCCTTGCTTGACATTGTTCTTGCTGTTGTGATACACAGACAAGAGAAGCCTCGCTGGCGATAAGTGCAAGATGAAGAAGCAAATCTCATCCAATGGCAGGTCATAATTCATGTGAATATAGAAGTCTCATGTTCATTATTCTTGTTGTCATATAGGTTGTATCTTTCTCCAATTGATGAACAAACTGCCCGCTGGTGGTATTCACGTAACCCTTGTTGGGTCCATTTGCTCTTCTGTAACAAATAAAAGCAAAAATGATTAGAAAATGTAGTTGGATGTAGAAGGAGAACATTTATTCTTCCCCCTTTCAGTTTTTCCAACTGTTTTGTGGTGGTCTAATAGCAATAATAGTTGAATTCAGAAGCTTTAGTTGGTAAGCGAGACCAATTTTATCGATGCTTTTCCTGGTTTGTTCTGTTTTTATTGTGGGTTTATTTTGATTGGATAATTCTAGCTAAACTACGCTCTTCAAACTACTCCTACAGGGCTATTTGGTTCTCTCTCGTAAAACCCTTAATATGGAGAGAATTATATAGAGGCCACAAACTGGGATTTTTTAGTGCCACGTCGGTTTCATATTTGACCAAGCAAACAATGTAATGTTTGGAAGTTGTAGCCTACAATAACTTTCAAGCAAAAAAAGAGAGGCCAACCGAATAAGCCCTACTGCCCCCAGAAAATTGTGGGGTTCTTCTTATTTGGATTTTAAAAAAACCGATGAATCATTAAGGCGGTGTTTGGTTTGAAGTAAAATGAGGGAAAGGAAAATGAAGAGGAAAAGGAAAGAAAAAGAAAAGAAAACGAAAGTGGAATGAGTTACTTTCTCATGTTTGGTTACTGAAGAAAATTGAAAGAAAATCTGGGGGAAAATAAACAATGCTATTTCCTTCACCCGACAGCTTCGGTACTCCCAAAACAATTTTTGGGAGTACCGATGGCATATATAGTAAATAGTCACCGAAATAACAGCTCACTCATTTCCGTACAAATCGCTTAATCAGTTGTCCGAAGTTCCACCGGCAACTTTGTTATTTATCTGACTTTTAGGGGTAATTTCAAAGTATAGTATTTATATTCTTTATCAGAGGCTATAAATCTCTTAATCACTGCATTCTGATGTTAGAATCTCATCAGCAACCGATAGTTTTTGGTTGGTTGTCTCCTATTAAATCCTCAAAGTTTTTTCTTTTGGTTGTTTCCGCCACAAAGTGCGGTAAATGCTGTCATTTCCATCATAGTTTTTTTATTTTTTTTTGGCTTTGACAATGTTGTTCCTATTTAGGTAGCAAGTAATAAGAGTAGTGGCTTCATTGGTATCTAATCATCTAGTTGAGATAAAAATCGGTCGGACTAAATGTTATTATGTTAACCTTCTATATCGCCTTGCTAAAATAGTTATTAAAAACCTCTTTGTTAAATCAAATCTAATGAAATTGTCAGCATTCATATTTCTCAAAATAAATGAAGAGGAAGGGAATATGTCAACTTTTACCATTTTCATAGAATCTTCGTATTAGGGGGTGTTTGGTTGCATTGTTTTTGAGAAATGTTTTCTCAAAAAGTACAAACAAAGGTATTTCTGTAATTAAGAGTTTTCTATAGATTTCTACAAACTGTGTTTGACTCAAAAAAGATTTACAGAAATGTTTTCTGTAAAGTATAGAAAAGTACCAAAATTTATAGATATTAATTTCCTTCTAAAATGGGCGGAAATCTCTTTGAAATCTGACGCATTCATTATTTAAATAATAAAACACATTAACACTTTTCTATGAAGTTCTCACTTTTCTATAAAGTTGGTGGTGTTTGGTTACATTTCTATAAATTATAGGAAATGTTGCTATTTTCCCAAAAGTTATAAGTCGTTTTCTTGTTTTGAACCAAACAAGCACAATGCAAAAAATAAGAAAATTTGTACTTTTTAACTTCTCAAAACTTTTCTTATAATTTTTTTAAGAAATACAAGGAAATCAAATTTTGGATGGAAAACATTTCCTATAATTTATAGAAATGTAACCAAAACACCCCCTTAGAAAAAAGAAAAAAAAAAGAGTATCCACGTAATTTTGAAAAATCAAGTGTAAAGTATTTCTACCATCAGCGCACAAAATATGCACTTTTGTAAGATAAATTGAATAAATTCGTATATCTATTTATCTAGGCAACTAGAATTATCATTCTTGAATGGTCATTTTAAAAAAAAAAACATATTTGAAATCTTAAAAAAAAAAGAAAATCAAACCTATCCCAGGATTGGCTATCCCAGGTACTTTTTAAGTGCAAACAGAACCCAAAAGCACTAATTCCGTGTATTTAACAAATTAACGATTTAATGTAAAAACAGTCTTCTAATTAAATAAAAAAAACTTAGGGTTCTGAGAGAAAATTGTCCTTCTAGAATTTCTCAGTGTTCCGCGTTCACATCTGAAAATCCCCACTTAAAAAATATTATCCGTTTTTAGGCGCAAATTCTTAATCCCAGTCGTTAATTGCAAAAATAAAGCTAATCCAGTGGTCAAAGTTCACTAACAGAAAGTCAACCTACGGACCAAAAAAATTTATATAAATACCGTTGCTTTGAGTTCACTTCCACGTGGCAAACTTCAAAGGGTCGAAAACTTCAGAAATCTCCTTGATCGCAGGTTAGGGGTTCTTTCTTCTCTCATTTCGATCTCAAATTTTCTTTACTTTTTCTTACTCGAATTCTGTATTTTCATCTAATTCACCTTGTACGATTTGGATTCTGATTCAATTTCCCCCAAAAAATTTAACTGATTTTCGTGATTTATGTCTACAAAAAGCTTGACTGTAGGTAGGGGGAGATTACGATGTCTGAGAATGGATTTGAAAATGAGGAGAAGGATGATTTAGATCACGGCGTCACGGAGAAAGATGCTTCCTTGGTAATTCTTTCATATTAATTTTGTAGTATCAAGCGTATGCTAGGGTTTAGTACTTACTGTAATTTTGTATTGAAGCTTGCAAAGTTCAAATGTCAGGTTGGCGGCTTATTTCTAGTGTCCCAAGACTCCCAACCTAAATGAAACTTTGCATGTTGGCGAATCACTATTATTCTAGCCAAATGAACCGGCTAACCTGTTAATATGTGCTACCTACAATTTTAGTTAAGTGTTAGTTGCATTTAACCTTAGACAAGTTGTCATTTTGTCATTTATGCGTGCCCAAGCACAATCGAAAACGACTATTAGATAACTCAATCCACACCAAGATGTACTTTCAGGACATCAAGAAGTGCATATGCCATTTTGCTGTGACAGGGTATAGGTTCATTATCTCTGTTCTTTTAGTATATCCTATAGAATAACTCTAGCTGATAGCATGTTTTCATATTATGAAATATTGTCCCTGTGGAAATCAACTCCCTGAAGCCAACTCCCGATATATGATAAAAGACGAGGAGAGTATATTCGCAAGTGCACCTTGGCTTTTAGAAGTATAGTGGCTTTCTGTTTTTCAGATTCGGAAACAACCTTTCCCGTTATACTTTGATTTTAATACTAAAGGAAACTATGAGTGAACTTGAAACTCAAAGGAGACCTGCCACCTATGATGCACGGATACGGATAAGGGACACGGATACGACACGGCCACGGATACGGCATACGACAAAATCCAAAAAAATAGGATACGGGGATAAGACAAGGATTTTTTTAGAAAAAAATATTATTATATATAGAAAAATTTATAAAATTCAACTAACAATCTAAAATATGAATCTATCACATAAAATTCAACTAACAATCTAAAATATGAATCTATCACAAAATAACAAGTTTGTAAACAAAAAGTACCTCAAGATCTAAAATATGAATCTATCACAAAATAACAAGTTTGTAAACAAAAAGTACCTCAAGATGAAGTGGAAGCTAAGAGATTGAGAGAGAGGATTAGGGTTAGGGTTAGGGTTAGAGTTTTTTCTTATTTTCTTTCATTTGAATCAGCTGAGGATCGAATCGAACGGGAGATTTGAGAAATAAGGATGGGTTTTTTAATCGAACGGTTCAGGTTGGATTTTAACAACCAAACCCGCAACCCGAATGAATCGGCCTTCGGCAAATCCAAACCGTGTCCGAGCTCCTTTGACCGTGTCCGAGCTCCTTTGACCGTGTCCGAACCTAATTTGACCGTTGACCCGTGTCGGACACGGTTTGACCGTGTCCGACACGTGTCGTGACGAATCCGTGTCCGATTCGAGTCGGACACGGATTCGTGACCTCCGGGGGAGAATCCGTGCTTCAGAGCCTGCCACAAGTTCTGAAACAAATCAAGGCCTAAAATTTGCAAGCTTATAATTGAAATTGAAGTTGGAACTTTGGAAGCTCATAATCGAAATTGAAGATGCAGGATACCATATTCCAGAGAGCACATGCACATCTTTCTAGAGAAATATTTTTATTCTAATACATTACCCCTTTTACAGTTTTAGACTTTCCCATTGGCTACATGTAACATACATGAACAAGTAATATAATCCCTTCTCTACTAACTTTAATCGCAGTGTTGTTTTTCGAATCTTCTCTTATATTTTCCGTATCTATCTGCCAGGAAACCTCTATATTCCTCATCTAATTGATATATTTTAATTTGGACCAAAACCATAGCTTATCAAAAGGTGGAATTATAATTACATAACCGACAAGTGGTATTCTAGTTTAAGAAATTATTGTTATTAGGATTGCATATGGATATTTTAGTGGTGGATGTTTAACATTATCAACATTATTGAATAACCATGGACTTAGTTTTAAATAGCATGCCTTTCGCCCATTCTTTCACCCATTCTCATAAAGTGCAGAAAATCCTGCTTCTGAAATGCAATAGACACCTGAATGCATATAAACATCTTCTCTATCCATGATTTCCATTTCTGCCTTCTTTGAATCTACTTGGTTTTGAGCCCAGATTATTAAGGTTCAAGTATACGCTTGAAAAAGACCACAAATGGATCGTGACTAGTAATTTTATAATAACTTTACGCAGTAGGTATTACTTGTATTCTTTTTACTGTGGAACTAACTATACATGAATTTTGATAATTGTATTTATGAAGTCACGTAATTATAATATACTATTCTTAGTTTTAGGTTTTCAATCATTTAGATGTTCCTTGGTGTATCTTTTACTTATCTGTTATGTTTTATTATTATAGGTCAAAGTGGATTCTGGACAACTGCCAATTTTAACGTGGAAAAGGAAATTGAGCGATAAGGGAAATAAACTGTCACATTTTACACTAAATTTTCGAGAGATGTTGGAATTGGTAAGTTTAAATGTTAGATATTTATATTTATTTTACTATTAATTCTTTTTCCCCATCTGCATAGGGGATAGTTGTTTTAGCATTTACAAATTTCAGACATAAGAAAATGGTCAATTTTACTGCTATTTAGTAGCTATGTTATACAATTTGATTGCTTTGACGTTAATGGTCAGTCATAATTATTTGTTTTAAGATTAGTTCTCCTTATTTTTTGTTGCTGCAAACTAACCAAGTTATTTTCACCCTTCTTGTGTGGTTGAAATTCATATTTTGGGTTTTAAAAGATATTTGATTCATGTGGCAGACCACTAGTTGCCATAGTTGCAGTGTTTTAACTTCCCAAGGAATACAGGGGTGATATCATGTTGAAAGCGATACATAATATTTGAACAGGTTCTGCATATAATCTAATTAATTTACCATTGATGGGAGAAAGTTTTGACAATAACGGTGGTGCTATCAAGTTTCAAATCTCTCACTATTAGACATTAGTTTTGCCAAATATATTGAACAACTTGTGCTGGTAATATATTTTTAGGGTGAGTAAGCAATATGACATGAAGAAACCATGTCTGTAGCATAAAATGAAGGTGTCAGGTATGGTATAACCTAAACATGACTTTCTGCAACACTGTCAGTTCCTAGTGATGTATTTAAATGATTCAGAAACTTTGTAAAATAAATGAAGTGAATTCTAAAAAAATAATAAATCTTGCTACTTGGAGGGAACCCAGAAGGTAGCATATTTGATGAAAAAACAGTTGTAATGTATGGACCGTATGGTTCATTATAAAAGTGACTTGATGCAATACTGTTAATTTCTTAAGATGCGTAACAATTAAATATGGAATATGCAAAGAATTTTTCTGATCAGATTTTATAGTTGCTAATATTAGAATTTTTCTTATGATCTATAAATAAGATGTTATACTTTCACATTATGCTTCAAATGATGGTAGGATATTCACATGTTATTTAGTTATATTTCTTTTACTGATGGATTGGCTTATTTGTTTACTGATGTCTGATAGGCTCCCTTAGGTATTCGTTTAGGGCGACATCTCATACGGGAAGCGGCAAAAGGAAGGGTGCACCCTTCTTTCTGAGCATGAATGTTTTGACAACATTTAGCTACATTACTTTTATTTTCTTCTTCTATGAAATACTCTCATTTGGAGCTTTATCATTTTCCAGGCTATCATAATTGATCCCACAAAAAAGCATTTCACGACATCTTGTCAAGGTGTTCCTTTGGGTGGCATTGGGTGGGTCTTTAGAACATTCTTATTGTGTTTTCTTTATGACTGTTTCGCTTACACCCATTATCATGTGTTGGAATTAGTTAGAAAATAAATTTGATAACTACCCAGAGATATTTCCCCATAGATGAAAATATAAATCTAGTAAATAGAACTTTCATTTTTTTTAGACTTTGAACCAGATTGTCTCTATTAGAAGGAATTGAGCTAGTTACCTCTGTTAGAATTAAGTATTGGGTTATCGGGTTAAGACCCAATAACCTATTACCATTTGTACTCCTATATATATGTATCCATGAGGAGAAACCCTAATAAGATTCTGATTTACCATTTCAACATGGTATCAGAGGCGTCACTCTCCAAACCCTAAAAAAAACAGTTACTGTAGCTTGAACCCTAGCCGCCGTCGTCAATCATCTGAGCGAAGAAGGCGTCGATCTCGACTGCTGTTCGTCTTCTACGCTCGCCGTCCTCAGCCGTCGCCGTCGTCGTTTGCGCTCACCGCTGTTGTTGTTGTCGTCGTCGTCGCGTCGTTGTCGAGTCGTCGTCGCGTCGTTGTCAAGTCGTCGTCGTCATCGGATATCGTCTGCCCCTCTCAAGCTACTGTGTTCGTGGCTCAGATCTGTGAATTTTTTTGTTTCTTGTTTATGTTTGGGCCCTTTGTTTGATCTGTGTTTTTTATTTCGGGCTTGTTTTCTGAAGTGAGAGGAGTAGTTGTACTGTTGTTGATGAGGATGGAAGCTTGTACAGAAATTAAAAAAACAAAAAAAAGAAAACAAAACAAAACTAAACNCACACACACACACACATATATATATATATATATATATATATATATATATATATAAAACCAAAAAAAAACACTGAGTTGAGATCTTAACCTTCGGGTTCTATGCTGACCTTCGGGTTCTACTCTAACCTTTCGGGGTTCCTATTCTAACCTTTCAGGGTTCCTATTCTAACCTTCGAGTTTTCTATTCTAACCTTCGGGTTCTATTCAAACCTTCGGGTTTTATACAAGAAGATTGTGTACTGTCCTGTTATGTAACAATGGCAGGATCTGACATCTCTTATGCTACTACTACTATCCCTACTACTGCTGAGATCTTTGCCCCCAAAGTTGTATTGGGGATCACAGTGAAGTTAAATGGCACCAACTATCTACTTTGGACACAAGTCTTCTGCATCTTCATTGGTATTCAGAATAAATTAGCTCATCTTCTGACCCCACCTCCCGTATCTACAGATCCTACGTATCATACATGGATCTCTGCTGACTGCAGTGTGATGACTTAGCTTCTTAATAGCATGGAAGCTCAGATTAGTAGCAGTGTCATGTTCTCGAACACTGCTCAGGAGATGTGGGATAATTTAAAAATTATGTACGGGAATGAAAAAATACATCCCGTGTGTTCGAGTTGTATGAATGCCTTTTCTCTCTTCAACAAGGCGATCGCTCTGTACCTGAATACTTTGGTGAGCTGAAAAGTTTAATCGATGAATTAGAGATGCATCAGCCTGTTGTTACGGATGCACCAACTCTGTTGGGATATCGTCGGGACCTTGTCGTCTCCAAGTTCTTGTCAGGACTGAGTCCCACTTTGCAGTCTCAGATACGTGGCCAAATACTCGGGGGTGATACTATCCTTTCCTTGACTGCTACATTCTCCAGAGTTATGCAGGTAACTACTGGAGTGACTACTACATCTCCCACACCAACCGCTCCATCACTTGACCAGTCTGCTATGTTCTCCGGATGTGGTAGAGGTCGTGGTCGTGGTCGTGGTCGAGGACGTGGTCGCGACACATGGGGAGGATGTGGCACCTTTGGGAGACAGGTTGATTCAGATAAGACTCTGCGTCCGTGCAGACATTGTGGGAGGACTAATCATATCTCTGAGAAGTATTGAGAGAAGTTTGGTCGTCCTGCATGAGCACAAATTGCTGATAGTGCACCTACCTCTGTTGATTCTCCGACTACTTCTGCTCCTTCCACTGTTCAAATTTTGCAAGCTGAGTATGACCGGTTACGTCAACTCGAGTCCTCTCAGAATAGTCATTCTGCTACTCATGCATCCTCTTCAGGTATGGATGCCTACATTGCCTCTCCTCACAAACCATGGGTATTAGATTCTGGTGCCTCTTCTCATATGACATGTATAAATGATCACTTCGTTTTTTTAAAACTGTCTGATAAGTTTCCATCGGTCCGCATTGCTGATGGTACATACTTTCCAGTTCTTGGTGATGTAGTAGTCCATGCTACTTCATCACTAACCCTTACCGACGTCTTATATCTTTCAAGATTTCCTGTCAGTTTATTGTCCATCAGTCAGTTCACCAAACACAACTGTAAAGTAATATTTTTCCTTCTTATTGTGTTTTTCAGGACCTAGCAACTAGGATGACGATTGGTTCGGGGCATGAGTGAGGAGGCATGTACTATTTAGACGATAATATGCCCGCTACTGGTCTTGTTACAGAAAAATCTGATCATCCTTTACTATGGCATCAACGTCTTGGTCATCCCTCATTATCGAAGCTTAGATCTGTCATTTCTATCCCATCATCTGTTTCTTCTTTAGGTTGTGAGTCTTGTGAACTGGGTAAGCACCATCGTGCTACCTATCCGAGTCGTATTGATAAACACAGTAGTTCTGCGTTTGAGTTAGTCCATTCTGATGTTTGGGGTCCTTGTCGTATACCTTCAGTGAAAGGTTACAGATATTTCTTTGTCTTTATTGATGACTTCTCTCGCGTGACTTGATTTTATCTATTAAAAGAGAGATCTGAGGTTTCGATTGTTTTTGAAATATTTTACAAAGAAATCTAAAACCAATTTTCCACCTCTATTCGTATTCTTCGTACCGGTAATGCGTTGGAATACATGAAACATAACATCTCTCATTTTTGTGCAAATATTGATATTATCCATCAAACTTCATGTTCTCACACTTCACAACAAAATGGGATTGCTGAGAGATTTTAGATGTTGTTAAAACCCAGATGATACATATGCATGTTCCAAAGTATTTGTGGTCTGATGCTGTTCTCAGTGCATGTTTCCTGATCAATATGATGCTCTCCTGTTCTTAATGGTACAATACCGTTCACCTGCCTTTTTCCTGTGGTTCCCCGTATTTTTAGCTGTACTTGTTTTGTTCAGGATTTGTCTTCAGGACTGGATAAAATGTCTCCACGGTCTATTATGTGTCTTTGTAGGCTACTCGTGTACTCAAAAAGGTTATCGTTGTTATAACTCATCCACCAGAAGATATCTTGTGTCTGCAGATGTAACATTTTTTGAGTTTGTTCCATATTTCTCCTCGACTGGTTCATCTCCATTTGTCAATCCATCTGTGCCTATTCCGTCTATTGCTCCTACTATTGTTCCATTACCTGCTTCTGTTCTTTCTGCTAATGGATCTTCTCCAGGACTACAAAATGCCTCTATTGTGCCATCTGCAACACCGCCAATACTGACGTATTTTTGCCGTCCAAAAGTTTTTCCCTCTGTTTCAACCGAACAATTATTTCCCGTTGCAGGTCTGTCTCATTCTAATATTTCCATTTCCTCTGATTTGGACATTTCAATTGCTCATCGGAAAGGTAAACGGTCTTGTACTAATCATCCTATATCTGATTTTGTTTCTTATGACCGTCTTACTCCCTCTTCTCGTCAGTTTGCTTTGTCCTTATCCTCTATATCTTTACCCAAGTCCTATGAGGAGGTCGTGTTAGTTCCTGCTTGGAAACTAGCCATGGATGAAGAAATGGACGCACTTGTTTCTAGAAGGACTTGGGATCTTGTATCTTTTCCGACGGGTGCTACTGTGGTTGGCTGTCGGTGGGTTTATACCTTGAAGTATCGCACAGATTGATCGATATAAAGCTCATCTTGTTGCTAAGGATTATACTCAAACCTATGGGGTTGACTATCTTGTGACGTTCTCTCCCGTTGCCCATCTCAATTCCATTCGTCTATTTTTATCTATGGCTGTTAATCTGGACTGGACAATGTTTCAGCTAGATGTTAAAAATACCTTCCTGTATGATAACTTGCAGGAAGAAGTCTATATGGAGCAACCTCTAGGGTATGCTGCTAAGGGGGAGAATACTGTCTGCAAGCATAAAGGCGATTTATGGTCTCAAACAAAGTCCACGGGCATGGTTTGAGAAATTTAGTACTGCTATATCTGGTGTCGGTTTCAAATGATGTTGGTCTGATCACTCCGTCTTTATCCGGCGCACTACATCTGGTTTGGTGATTCTGACAGCATATGTTGATAACATCTTGCTAATTGAGAGTGACCTTGCTGCCTTAGTAGAGGCTAATGAGTACCTTTCATGTCACTTTGTCACCAAAGATATGGGAAAACCCAAATACTTTCTTGGGATTGAGATTGCATATCAAAAGGACCGTTTGCTTTTATCTCAAAGAAAATATATATTGGACTTATTAGAAGAGATGTGCCTTTTGGGGTGTAAGCCAGCAAACACTCCCATGGAAGTGAATGTGGACTTGTGGCGTGATAATAGTCCTCTCCTAGATGATGCAGGCCGATATAGGAGCACACACACACACACACACATATATATATATATATATATATATATATATATATAAAACCAAAAAAAAACACTGAGTTGAGATCTTAACCTTCGGGTTCTATGCTGACCTTCGGGTTCTACTCTAACCTTTCGGGGTTCCTATTCTAACCTTTCAGGGTTCCTATTCTAACCTTCGAGTTTTCTATTCTAACCTTCGGGTTCTATTCAAACCTTCGGGTTTTATACAAGAAGATTGTGTACTGTCCTGTTATGTAACAATGGCAGGATCTGACATCTCTTATGCTACTACTACTATCCCTACTACTGCTGAGATCTTTGCCCCCAAAGTTGTATTGGGGATCACAGTGAAGTTAAATGGCACCAACTATCTACTTTGGACACAAGTCTTCTGCATCTTCATTGGTATTCAGAATAAATTAGCTCATCTTCTGACCCCACCTCCCGTATCTACAGATCCTACGTATCATACATGGATCTCTGCTGACTGCAGTGTGATGACTTAGCTTCTTAATAGCATGGAAGCTCAGATTAGTAGCAGTGTCATGTTCTCGAACACTGCTCAGGAGATGTGGGATAATTTAAAAATTATGTACGGGAATGAAAAAATACATCCCGTGTGTTCGAGTTGTATGAATGCCTTTTCTCTCTTCAACAAGGCGATCGCTCTGTACCTGAATACTTTGGTGAGCTGAAAAGTTTAATCGATGAATTAGAGATGCATCAGCCTGTTGTTACGGATGCACCAACTCTGTTGGGATATCGTCGGGACCTTGTCGTCTCCAAGTTCTTGTCAGGACTGAGTCCCACTTTGCAGTCTCAGATACGTGGCCAAATACTCGGGGGTGATACTATCCTTTCCTTGACTGCTACATTCTCCAGAGTTATGCAGGTAACTACTGGAGTGACTACTACATCTCCCACACCAACCGCTCCATCACTTGACCAGTCTGCTATGTTCTCCGGATGTGGTAGAGGTCGTGGTCGTGGTCGTGGTCGAGGACGTGGTCGCGACACATGGGGAGGATGTGGCACCTTTGGGAGACAGGTTGATTCAGATAAGACTCTGCGTCCGTGCAGACATTGTGGGAGGACTAATCATATCTCTGAGAAGTATTGAGAGAAGTTTGGTCGTCCTGCATGAGCACAAATTGCTGATAGTGCACCTACCTCTGTTGATTCTCCGACTACTTCTGCTCCTTCCACTGTTCAAATTTTGCAAGCTGAGTATGACCGGTTACGTCAACTCGAGTCCTCTCAGAATAGTCATTCTGCTACTCATGCATCCTCTTCAGGTATGGATGCCTACATTGCCTCTCCTCACAAACCATGGGTATTAGATTCTGGTGCCTCTTCTCATATGACATGTATAAATGATCACTTCGTTTTTTTAAAACTGTCTGATAAGTTTCCATCGGTCCGCATTGCTGATGGTACATACTTTCCAGTTCTTGGTGATGTAGTAGTCCATGCTACTTCATCACTAACCCTTACCGACGTCTTATATCTTTCAAGATTTCCTGTCAGTTTATTGTCCATCAGTCAGTTCACCAAACACAACTGTAAAGTAATATTTTTCCTTCTTATTGTGTTTTTCAGGACCTAGCAACTAGGATGACGATTGGTTCGGGGCATGAGTGAGGAGGCATGTACTATTTAGACGATAATATGCCCGCTACTGGTCTTGTTACAGAAAAATCTGATCATCCTTTACTATGGCATCAACGTCTTGGTCATCCCTCATTATCGAAGCTTAGATCTGTCATTTCTATCCCATCATCTGTTTCTTCTTTAGGTTGTGAGTCTTGTGAACTGGGTAAGCACCATCGTGCTACCTATCCGAGTCGTATTGATAAACACAGTAGTTCTGCGTTTGAGTTAGTCCATTCTGATGTTTGGGGTCCTTGTCGTATACCTTCAGTGAAAGGTTACAGATATTTCATTGTCTTTATTTATGACTTCTCTCGCATGACTTGGCTTTATCTATTAAAAGAGAGATCTGAGGTATCGACTGTTTTTGAAATCTTTTACAAATAAATCAAAAACCAATTTTCCACCTCTATTCGTATCCTTCTCTATTCGTATCCTTCGTACCGATAATGTGTTGGAATACATGAAAAATGACAGCTCTCGTTTTTGTGCAAATAGTAGTATTATCCATCAAACTTCATGTTCTCACATTTCACAACAAAATGGAATTGCTGAGAGGAAGCATAGACACATTTTAGATGTTGCTAGAACCCTGATGATACATATATATGTTTCAAAGTATTTGTGGTCTGATGTTGTTCTCAGTGCATGTTTTCTGATCAATAGGATGCCCTTTCCTGTTCTTAATGGTACAATACCATTCACCTGTCTTTATCCTGACAAAAAATATTTTCTTGTGGTTCCTCGTGTTTTTTGTTGTACTTGTTTTGTTCAGGATTTGTCTTCAAGTCTGGATAAAATATCTCCTCGATCTATTAAGTGTCTTTTTAGGCTACTCGCGTACTCAAAAAGGTTATCGATGTTATTACCCATCCACCAGGAGATATTTTGTCAGCAGATGTAGCTTTTTTTGAGTCTGTTCCATACTTCTCCTCTACTGGTTCATCTCCACCTGTCAATCCATCTGTGCGTACTTTGTTTATTGCTCTTACTACTATTTCATTACCCGCTTTCATTCCTTCTGCTAATGGATCTTCTCCAGGACTACAAAATGTCTCCACTGTACCATCTGCACCACCGCTACTACTAACGTATTGTCGCCGTCCAAAAGTTCCTGTCCCTCTCTCTGCTCTAACCGAACAGTCATCTCCCGTTACAGGTCTGTCTCCTTCTAATATTTCTAATTCCTCTGATCTGAACATTCCAATTGCTCATCGGAAAGATAAACTGTCTTGTACTAATCATCCTATATCTGATTTTGTTTCTTATGACCGTCTTACTCCCTCTTCTCGTTAGTTTGCTTTGTCATTGTCCTCTATATCTCTACCCAGATCCTATGAGGAGGCCGTGTTAGTTCCTGCTTGGAAACATGTCATGGATGAGGAGATGGATGCACTTGTTTCTAGAAAGACTTGGGATCTTGTATCTTTTCCGACGGATGCTACTGTGGTTGGCTGTCGGTGGGTTTAAACCTTGAAGTATCGCACAGATGGTTCGATTGATCGATATAAAGCTCGTCTTGTCGCTAAGGGTTATACTCAAACCTATGGGGTCGACTATCTTGAGACGTTCTCTCCTGTAACCCGTCTCAATTCCATTCGCCTACTTTTCTCTATGACCGTTAATCTGGACTGGACAATGTTTCAGCTAGATATTAAAAATGTCTTCTTGTATGGTGACTTACAGGAGGAAGTCTATATGGAGCAACCTTCAGGGCATGTTGCTCAGGGGGAGAATACTATCTGCAAGCTTAAAAAGGCGATTTATGGTCTCAAACAGAGTCCACGGACATAGTTTGAGAAATTTAGTACTGCTATATCTGGTGTCGGTTTTAAACGATGTCAGTCTGATCACTCCGTCTTTATCCGGCGTACTACATCTAGTCTGGTGATTCTGACAGTATATGTTGATGACATCTTGCTAACTGGGAGTGATCTTGCTGCCTTAGCAGAGACTAAAGAGTACCTTTCACGTCACTTTATGACCAAAGATATGAGAAAACCCAAATACTTTCTTGGGATTGAGATTGCATATCAAAAGGACCGTTTGCTTCTATCTCAAAGAAAATATGTATTGAATTTATTAGAAGAGATTGGCCTTTTGGGGTGTAAACCAGCAACCACTCCCATGGAGGTGAATGTGGATTTGTGGCGTGATAATAGTCCTCTCCTCAATGATGCAGGCCGATATAGTAGATTGATTAGCAAGTTGATCTATCTTACTCTAACCAGGCCTGATATTACCTTTACAGTGGGAGTACTGAGCAGGTTTATGCATAAACCTAGAGAGGTTCACTGGACTGCAACTCTGAGAATTTTAGCTTATGTTAAACCTGTCCGGGAAAAGAATTGCTGTACAAGAAACATGGACATTTACACATCTCTGCTTATTCTGATGCTGGGTATGCGAGAGATATTGGAGATAGAAAGTCTACTTCTGGATTTTGCACCTTTATTGGAGGAAATCTGATTACCTGGAGGAACAAGAAACAAGATGTAATATCTTGATCTAGTGCAGAGGCAGAATACAGAGCTATGACTCACACTGTTTGTGAGATGATATGGTTACAGAAACTGCTGACCGAGCTTGGTTTTACTCAGCCTGGATCTATGCCTATGCATTGTGATAATCAATCTGCTATCCATATTGCAAAGAATCCAGTGTTTCATGAAAGAACTAAGCACATTGAAGTTGATTGTAATTTTGTCAGAGATGCTTGGAAAAAGAAAGTGATATCTCTTCAGTTCACTCCGTCTTCATAACAGTTAGCTGACATTCTCACTAAAGCTATTTCACCTAAGGTGTTTTCCATTCTGTGTAACAAGCTGGGTATGATTGATATATATGCTCCAGCTTGAGGGAGAGTGTTAGAATTAAGTATTGGGTTATCGGGTTAAGACTCAATAACCTATTACCCATTTGTACTCCTATATATATGTATCCGTGAGGAGAAAACCCTAATAAGATTCTGATTTACCATTTCAACAACCTCCTTGGTATATTGGTTGTGACATTTAGGTCTATTACATACCATCAATTCTTCATAGTTTGGAATAGACGATGCATGCATAATTTCCCTTACAAATTCATGCTGATACAACAAACTAAGATTTACAGAGTTTTTAGGAAAAAAGTATGTAAGAATAAGAGAAATTTTACTTTTTTAAGGGTAGAAATAGTCCAGGGAATGAGCCAAATTCAAGAGTATGACCAGAAAAAAATGATAGTGGTCCATGTTATCATTGTTTAACTGCTAACTAATCACTTGAAGTATGCTCAGTTTTGTCTCTTCATTTACTCCCGTCATATTTGGAAACTGAAGGCCCAAGGCATTATTTTTCTTTTTAAACTGTTTTGTTTTATTTTTTTTATAAACAGAAATCTTACCGCCCATCTACTTTCTATTCTGGAACTAAAAACACCAGGGGAGGGAGCATTGGAAGAAGCTATACAGGCGACTTTCAGCGTTGGCAACTGTTTCCAGGAATACGTGAAGATAAACCTGTCTTGGCAAACCAATTCTCTGTAAGTCTGATGCCTTCTGTTGGATCCAATCAGTGCCATGCAAATCAAAAGTTTCTAACATTATTTTTCTTTTCACATTCTAAGAGAAGGCTCGATAAACATATCAAACAAAATCCTTTTTATGAGTTTGGAGACCTGGTATTGGCTCACTTATAATTTGTTCCAACACTTCTGTTGCATAGGTAGAGATACTCGAGAATTGATTCATAACATGGAAACCTATAACTTCCACATATATTTATTATAGGTATAATAATAAGATAATGTATAATTATATGGAGCAAATAACTACAGAGAACAAGGGAGTCATGGAGTCATGGTTTTGGTTTTGAGGTCAATGTCAAATATTAAAGTTAAGTATACAATTGTTCAACATGTGCAAACTGGATGTTCTCTAGGTTGATGGAACGGTTTTGTTTTTGCAATGTCTCTATGATCCAGATTCTATATTCCAATCTATGTTACTTTCCATTCGTACGCTAAGTTTCCAGTTTGAGAATCCATGTCTTTTATTCAGTCACATCGTATGATCGTAATAAGGGGCAGAAATAATACTGGCAATATTTTGTTTTAACCTGCTGTATTGTTGCATCCACCATATATTGGATGCAAACTGGGTGTTTGCGTTTGCTGATCAGATGGATTGCGTATCTGCCCAAATGCCCTGATAAACTAAGTTTGATGTCACTATTTGGATTTATTTAGAGGCATCGTGTCCTTGATGTTTGTTCAGCAAACAGCTCTCTCTTACATGGTTTACATGAGGACTTGTTCCATCCACTCCCTAGAGGAAGTAGTCTCTCCATTGGTTAGGGGAGTGCCCTTGTAGTATCTACAACATATATAAAAAAGCCTAGAGACCTGCTTGTTCCGTCGGACCTGCTTGCTTCGGCAACACTGGTGTGAACTCTTAACCTCATCATTTTTTGAGAAACTGATCAAACCACGATTCTGAAAACAAGGGTTTGATTTCTTTTTTGCTCTTCTATTGTAGACACCAAGCTTTGGCCCATGAAAAGGGTGTAGTTAATACCGTATAGTAGGTGGAAGGTTAAGTTGTGGAAGGTGTCAAACGATTCCACATACATCATTAAAAAGGTGAAACCTATGTACTATTTTAATTTCTCATGCCAACCTACTAATTGCTAGGCTTCTTCCATTTATTCACTTCCCCTAACTGCTCTATAATGTCTTTTTCATGATGAATCTGTCATTCATGTTAGGAAAATTATTACTACTTTAATTTATTAAATATTTATTTTGTTTAGGACTAAAGGCTTTATTTTTTTGGTTATCTGCACTTTGGTGCCCTAAAGATAGCATCTTTTTTGAGTTTATTACCTCAGAGTTTTTCTCTAACACTTATTCATGATATGTGGTCTAGATGTAATGCCTTGTTTATTTAGTAGAGGCTTAACTAATATATCAAAGGACTTCTGTTTTCTAACCCGAGCTTTTAACCTCATTATAATGATATAAACATAAGAAATATAGAAATCATATATTTCTAAGATACTATGATTGCAACTTTGTCCGCTAGAACTCATAGATGTTTAACACAAAATATCTGCCACTTACGTTCTTATCACGTGATTAGCGACCGGATAAATGGATGCAAATATATGTCATGCTAATCACATGCTAAGGATGTCATAAAAGTTTAGCAAAAAATCTAATAGAATCTGGAAAAGGTGTTAAACTGAACTATTATTGAAACTTGGGGCTATCGAAGTATTAAAGAAATACTTGAGATATGAAAGTGAAATAGGATCAAAACTTTGGGTGTAGAAAAGTCAAAATAAGCCACCAAATAACCAAAAGAGCTTTGTTAGTCCCTTAAATCTTCCATATTTTGAAACTATTCTCATCAGGTCATTAAACTTGCTATTCGGTCTCCCGATTCGTAAATTATTTTGAAATTAGTCTTCCAAATAAAGAGTAGAATTAACAATTATATACATCTATTTGAAACAACTTATGAAAATTGAGAGGCTTACTAGAAATTTTGATGTACAACTACTTAATGGAGCATGCACGTGCAACAAACGTGCATCCCTCACTAGTCTCTATAAAATTGCAATACTCGAGAGTGTTACACCCTTTGAGCTCATGGTTCCTTATAGAGAACCTCATCACCGGACTTTCAACCATGAAATATCGGGCTCCAATAGGGTGGTTTCAAAAACAAACTAATCCTTTAACTTAACGTGGGAACAATTTAAGGAGGTCCAAGTATCAGGACCTCTTAATGATTAGAGGACCGGTGGCATAAAGAAGATCTCTGATTCTCCTGTGTTTGGTACATTGTGATAGCCCCATGGGCACTTGAGTCATTTAACTCACTACTATCTCACTATCCATAAGCCTTGTTCCGTCGATTCCCTCCCCTACAATGTTATTACTTATTAATAATGATTATGCTGGTTTATGTTTTGGACAAATCAGTTGCAACTTAGAATACATTGAAATGGAGAAACACACACGCGTTGGACAAATCAGTTGCAACTTAGAATACATTAAAGTGGAGAAGCACACACGCGTTGCAATGATACCCCACAACGGTAGTGCATTGGTGGAGTGGAAAATTTGCTACATGGGAAAATCATCTTCTTTTGATACACGCAAGACATGTTTGTAGCACAAACAAGCTATAGATCTATACATACACAATAAATACACATTCATGTGTACAAGCACAAACACATGCTCATGCAAATACACACATAGTGATCGATATACATGATGTAGTAACAAAATTACTTCCTACATTTTGTTTGAACTGAAGTGTTGAGGTTTTTATGGGACCTCTCGTCAAATAACATCCTGATTCGTTCTTATGATATGTTTGTCGGCAATTCATTATCCTGGATAGGTTTTCAGTTCACGCTCAGATGGTCAAAGATACTCCACAGTACTCTATCCAGGGAATCCTGAAAGGCTCAAGTAAGAAAGCTTTCATATATCTGTATTTAAAGTTCATAGAATTACTTTGAAAGTTTGGTAGAGAGGGCTTTTTAGGAGTGTTGGTAAAGATGTGCATGTGACACAGAAGTTACATTTACAAGGATGCCTCCAGTCACAACACAAGGGGAATTTTAGTTATCCACATTATTCATCAATAAAGATTGTAGTATCTATTGTTTACCTTGTCTAATGATCAGAACAAGTAAGATTTCTATCTCTATATGTTTCTTGATATTCGCAGAGAAAGTTCCATCTCAGGAATTGGATCTTGGGACTGGAACCTGGATGGAAAAAGTTCTACTTACCATGCTTTGTATCCAAGGGCCTGGACCATATATGATGGTAATCACATTTGGAATGACTTGATTCTTGACGTCTATAAAACTTTGAGGCCTTCTGATTGTTTATCTGTTATATACTTTCCAATTTAGGGGAGCCTGACCCAGATCTGAAAATAACTTGCCGTCAGGTTTCGCCATTTATTCCCCACAATTATCAGCAAAGTAGTTTACCAGTTGCAGTATTTGCATTCACGGTAGGTACTACTGCCATGCTTTATGATTATGCTAAGATAAAACTGAATATTAAGTGGTTTTTTTATAAACAATGATAATTTCAGCTTGTCAACTCGGGGGATAGTGCTGCAGAAGTAACTTTACTCTATTCATGGGCTGTAAGTCTCTCCTGAAAATTCTTAATAATTTTTGACCTTTTTCTTTCAATTGTCTTTAACTGCATTCTCTTCATATGAATCCTAAATAGATTTTGGCTACTTTTTAGGAAATTTGATGGCATATATTTTTTCATACCAAGTATCAGAAGGGATACTTTTAATGTTTTATTTTTTACCTTGCAGAATTCTGTGGGTGGGAACTCTGAGTTTTCTGGTTATCATTCAAATTCCAAAATGGCGTAAGAACAGAGTCTATATTGTCCCTATCATTTCCTTGTCATGGTGATAGCCGTAAACTCCTGCTTTTAATGCCTGAGCTTATACTGACAACTTATGATAAATTTAGTGAAAAAGATGGTGTGCGTGGAGTTCTTCTGCACCACAAGTGAGTTCAACACAGTTCTTGACAAGGCTCAACACATAAGTATCAAATTCTTTTTACTAAATAGTAACTATTCTGTTCCAGCTCCATAGTAATGGCTTCGTAATATACAATCCTGAAGCACTGTTTATATGCATACAGAACTGCTAATGGGCAATCACCGGTAACATTTGCAATAGCAGCACAAGAAACAAGAGATGTTCATGTCTCGGAATGTCCTTGTTTCGTGATATCTGGGAACTCTGATGGATTCACAGCAAGTGACATGTGGCATGAAATAAAAAAGGTTGTGCCATTTTTTGATTTCACGCATTTCCTATTCTGAATGATATAAAAAAGTATTTCTTTTCCTTCATATTATTATTTTTGTGAATCTTGATCCACTCAATCTCTTCAGTTGGTGTTCTACTATCCGTCTCTTCCCTTTTCTCTTCATTGTGGTGCAGCTATAGGTTATTTTGGTGATCTTTGTAATTCACTTATGCAGTATTCTATATTTATTAGCTACTCTCATCTGTTTACCTGTTGTATTTGTATGACATCTAAGCAAAACTGCATATTGACTTTGTTACTAGATGTTTGTGCCCCATTTACTTGTGGTATATCTATATAACATCATGTAAGGCACTAGAGAAGCTAGTTATGTTAAATGTAGTCTCTTTCTAAATATGATTTATATAAAAATCATGCCCAGATTTTTTTTGTCTGTATGCAATCACATGCAAACAATACTAGTAGATTGCATATATCATGTTTAATAGCTTCCTCCAAAAATGTGACCTTGAATAATGTCGCATTATTCAATTAACCTCAGATGCATTTTGTTTTTGTTTCTTTCAATTGTATTTTATCAGATTGTAGATAGATAAGGAGGGTTTTGTATGCTAATTCAATTTGTATTTGAGATCTAATAATCAAGCTAGCTGTGGGGGTCTGAGTTTGAGACCAGGCATATCAGTTGAGATTATGATATACTTTTGGGGTTTCTCAAACGATATGCATGTCCAAGATACCTTAGGAGTAGAAAAGGACCAGTGTGAAACTAGAGCAAAATTGAAATTAGACCGAAGCGTGGCATCCAATCCAATCAAGGGATGTGAAACGGAAATGAATAGAAAGTTGAAAAAATAACTTAATAAGAAACCATGCGGCTACCTGCCAAAAAGAAAGGTAGGCAGCGTAGCAGCTTTCATATCGTCCTCAGACGAAGGGACGGGGGTTGGGCCCTCAAGGGGATCGGGCTGCTTCAAGGCAGATAAAGTTAATCAAGCTCGATACAGGCAGCCTTGGGGTCAAGCTTGACATGCTAAAGGCATATAACAGACTAGAATGGGGCTTCCCGGAGAAAGTGCTTAGTCTCTATGGAATCATCCAGACAGGGATTTATGTGTAGGAAGTTATCATATTGCGGAAGTCTTATGGTAATACAAGAATATAAATAGAGTTCATTATTTTACAACAAAAGGTCAAATTATGAATCAATTTGCTTAAGTAGTACTAGGTTTGTTAGAGATAGAAAGTTAGATCTAGTTCTTTTGGACCCATTTAATTATGCTTATATACGGACCATCTTAAGATACTATGAACTTCAAATTTAGTTTCACAATCTAGACTATCTCCTTTAAAAAAATGCTGAACCAGCGTGCAGGCAAGGTTCTATTATTGTGGAGTTCCCGTTCCTTTTAAGCATAAAGTCTTCAATGGACAATTGAATCTGTCTCTATTAATCTCAGTGAAACTTGGGGAATTATATCCACTTTTGTGAATCTATTTAGCCTGAACCTGCCTCACAATGGCTCTATGGTTTGAAGATTCCTTAAAAAGATCTGTCAGAAAAATGCTGTTATGAATTTTATATTATATTATTATTTTGTTAATAATGAGAACTCAGGGAAATAGGAGGATGACGGAGATTTTAGTCCACTAATAACCCTCTGGAACAGATGATATTTCATGTGCAACTTATCAATTTTGATGGGAACCCTACGTGCTAATGAATAGTATCAAAGGAAATCCAAGCGAGATTGACGAAAGCATGCCAGGCAGAAAATGACAGAAGTCAGTAGATGTGGATAAAGTCCTCGCGAGAAGGGTGATTACCTAACTTGCAAAAAATAAAGAATTGTTATACCTACAGTGCTAGTTCAAATGTTTTCCCTGATAACTGAGAGCCAATTTTTTTTCTCCATAATCTACTATACTGAATCAAACGACAACACATATATAAGGCTTTCCAGACTGCTGGAGGGATTTTCTATCATTTTTTAGTTGTCTAATAATTCAGGTAGTATTATTAAGCACCTTCAAATTCTAAATTATTCTGTCATTGCCACATAGTTACATACCTTTTTTGATCATTATGTGCTATACACCCCCCCCTTCTCTTTCACGGCTAATTTTTGTATGTATGCTCCACCTACAAATTCCTTTCTATCAAGATTCACGTAGAACATCTATTACACCGCTTAAATCTGAATGAAGTATCGTTTGGTTTTTTTCGTTGTCATAATTGTTGTTTGATAAGTTGATATATATTTATTTTAATAGCATGGATCCTTTGACAACCTTGGTTCGACCGATAAATTTATGCATTCGGAACCAGGTTCATCTATTGGAGCAGCTGTTGCAGCTTCCGTGACTGTTCCTTCTCAAGGTTCCTGTACTGTTACATTCTCTTTGGCATGGGCTTGCCCAGAAGTAAAGTTCCCTAGTGGAAAGATTTATCATAGGTAACTTTAACTTCTCATGGGTAAATGATTAATTAAGAGAGCTAACTCTAGTTCACATGCTGATGTGATTTACTGTTCCAGACGTTATACCAAATTTTATGGCATAGATGGAGATGCAGCAGCAAGACTTGTGCATGATGCCATCATTGGTAATTGGATAAACATGTTACTGGCAGTTTCTTGATTGTTTAATTCACTGACTTTTTATTTGAGTAACTTGTTATTAGAATATAAACTTATAACCCCCAGATGTCATCCCAACTTTGGATTTTTGGTATATTGGAGGTACTTAAAGATGGTATCTGGTCAACCCAGATTCATATCTCATGATATGCATTTGAAGCGGATTTAAGACAAAAGTATGCTGTGTAAAATAGGATAGTTTTTGGCTCGTAAAAAAAGGATGCTCAACCTCCTTGGGTGTAATAAAATATAAAACTATGACCCTCTAGACTACCCTCATTTTCACTTCAGAGTTTTGGTTTAGCAGAAGGAACTTCAAGATTAGTTAAAGATTTTTCTGAGGAATTCTAGTTAAACATTTTGATACTGGATATAACCTAATACCCCTGCACAAGCGTTATATGAGATATGAATAGCCTCTTCACTTTATGATTACGCTACAATAATAGGTTTATTAGATTTTATATGATATAGTAAAAGAGTAATTTAGCATCGTTGATGTTTGCTTTCTCATACTTCTGCATGTGTAATGTACACATATTGATGCTAGCTCTCATACTTTTGCATGTTATTGACTGTTTGTTCTGTTTTTTTATGTTTTCCTAGTGTCAAAATACTTTCCAAGCTATGAATTAATTTGTTGAATCATCTTTACTTTTCCTTTCAAATTAAGAGCATCCATCATGGGAGTCCCTGATTGAAGAATGGCAAAGACCTATTCTGCAAGACAAGAGACTTCCAGAATGGTAAAATCTTGATACTAACCTCTCTAACTGCTCGACTAACTTCGCTTGCATAATGATTTGAAGTTTGGAGGTACTTGGCAGGTATCCTATCACTCTTTTCAATGAGCTCTACTATCTTAATGCTGGAGGGACGATATGGACAGGTTTGACGCATTGATAATTTGTTAGAGGTCCAATCTAGTTGGGGGGTTCTACTCACTATGTCTTTATACAGATGGCTCACCACCATTACAGAGTTTAGCATCAATCGAAGGAAGGAAGTTCTCCCTTGATATGTCAAATTTAGATTGCGAGAAGTTGGTTGAAATCGTTCCAGAAAATAACACTGCCACTGACATCCTAGGCAGGATGTCATCAGTGCTTGACAAAATGCATTCTCCCATTGCATCAAATTCTGCTTTTGGTACGAGTTTACTCCAAGGAGATGAAAATATTGGCCAGTTTCTCTGTCTTGAAGGGATTGAGTATATCATGTGGAACACATATGATGTTCATTTCTATTCATCTTTCTCCCTGGCTTTGTTATTTCCAAAACTTGAGCTCAGCATTCAAAGAGATTTTGCGGCAGCAGTAATGATGCATGATCCTGAAAAGGTGCAACTTCTACGTGATGGAAAGTGGGCTCCAAGAAAGGTTCTAGGTGCTATTCCCCATGACCTCGGGCTATTTGATCCATGGTTCAAAGTAAATGCTTATATGCTTTATAACACAGATAGATGGAAAGATCTAAACCCTAAATTTGTTTTGCAAGTTTATAGGGACACAGTACTCACGGGTGATAAGTCTTTTGCACGAGCAGTTTGGCCTGCAGTCTATACTGCCATGGCTTACATGGATCAATTTGATAAGAATGGAGATGGGATGATTGAAAATGAAGGCTTTCCTGATCAAACTTACGATGTGTGGTCAGTTACAGGTGTGAGTGCATATTGTGGTGGGCTTTGGGTGGCTGCTCTACAGGCGGCTTCAGCAATGGCACGAGAAGTTGGTGATAAAGCTTCCGAAGAGATGTTTTGGAATAAATATGAGAAGGCAAAATCAGTGTATATGAAATTGTGGAATGGTGCATATTTCAACTATGATGATAGTGGTGGCAAGACAAGTTCATCAATCCAGTCCGATCAATTAGCTGGACAATGGTATTATTCTGATAGATTATGTAGTTTAATGTTGAGATCTATTTACTACTCTTGCTTAACGAGCCGCTTTGAGAAATTCAATCCTTGTTATATTAGTTGATTTTTCATCTATTTTCTAATATTGTGCAGATTATAACTGATGTTGCTATGGTATATGCTACTCCCAATAACTTTCATCTTTATCACTGCTTTATGAATTTCATATTAGTAGGATGTTTAGATCAGTACTAACCAATTTACCCTTATTCATTGCATATGGCGGTTTCTGTTAATTATTGACCTCGTATCATCTTTCAGGTATGCGGTAGCGTGCGGGCTTCAGCCAATAGTTGATGCAGAAAAAGCTCAAAGCACGCTTGAAAAGGTTTACTCTTTCAATGTCCTTAAGCACAAGGATGGAAAGAGGGGAGCTGTTAATGGGATGAGACCAGATGGAAGTTTTGACTTGTCTGCAATGCAATCAAGAGAGATATGGTCTGGAGTTACGTATGCTGTTGCTGCTGCTATGATTCAAGAAGGCATGGTAGACGTGGGATTCAAAACTGCTCAGGGCATCTACGAAACTGCCTGGTCTGAGCAAGGACTTGGGTTGGTTGTCTTTTCCTTTTCTCACTAGCTGTGAGATACAACCTCCTTTTTCTCTTTCTCACACACACAGAGAGGAAATACAAATAAATAATATTGCATGCACATTAAAAAATACCTGTTTCGGTTTAGAGTTCACTATGACTCACTTTTTTCTCTTCATTTTCTTGTTCTGTTCTTCAAATCTTGTTTTTGAGAGTAAAAGATGAATACTATCTTCTCCAAATTTCTGGAGGAAGAAATTCTCCTTTCTTTGCAATCTCATATGCTTTGAATTTTCAAACACGTGCCCCACATTCGAAATTCTCTCCCAGTTATCTGCAACTAGGACATTGTTGACCATTATTTGTTTATCTCTTGGCACCGGATCTCTGAAGTTAATTAGGCGTACTGAAACTTGATGTTTGTTTGAGCTTAGTAATTTCTCATGAACCATGTAGTTCTTTTCAATAAATCGAACCATTTCAGTTACTTATTCTGCATTATACTTTAGTCATCTATGCCTTTTCCTAGCTAATGGAGTTGGCAGGGGAGTGCAAATATATATATTGAGTATGCGCTACATCTAATTTGACGAAATTCAACTGGTACTTATCAATCAGACGCCAAACAACCCCTGCAATTTGTATTAAAATCCTGCACTGGGAAACAGTGGACATGAGAAGGACTTCCCACAAAACCGAGTTGATCATCTTGGAATGGGAAACCTACTTATTTATGCATTTTCAAGCTCATTTAGCCAAAGGGAAACCCACCAAATATCCTCCTAGACTAGGAAAAACTGTTGAAGGAGGGAAAACGGTGACTTTGCAATTTCCTATTCTTTCATCTAAATATTCCTTTTTCAAGCTTGAGATGCATCAAATGAAGGTGACTTCTTCCTAATGCTTTTATAATACTATTTGTGTTTCCCCTGCTAGGAGTTCCGTAATTTTCAGGTTCATTTCTCCGTTAAACACTTTGGCTTCCTTTTAAGAATTTCATTTATAATTTCCTTCTACTCGTTTTTCCTCTATCAGCTTTTGCTATATTTCCTATACTTTTTCCTGCTATGATTCATTTTGCTAGCCTTCATGCTGGACATACAATGCTCTTATTATGTTTGTAGTCAACGAGATGATGTACTTTTAACATGTTCTGTAAAATTAATCTTACTCGTTTTCTTCATAATGCCCATTTTCTTATAATTCACTTACCAATGCTTACCAACATCCGACTTTCAATAGGTACTCTTTTCAAACTCCTGAAGCCTGGAATACCAAGGATGAATACCGCTCTCTCTGCTACATGCGACCACTGGCAATATGGGCAATGCAATGGGCATTGTCACCTCCGAAACTACACAAAGAAGCGGGAGCTGATACAAAAGAAGACACTCATCTGAAGCATCATATGTCATTCTCAAAAGTTGCGAAGATGCTCAAATTGCCAGAAGAAGAGCATAGTAAAAATGTTCTTCGTGTTATCTACGAGATTACATGCAATCGATTAAGGTCATGATGGGGGTTGTAGACTCTTGAGGAACTTCTTCAATCTTCATAAAGGAATGGGATGAGGTTTGTGCATTGATTTTGTGGTAGTCCAATTTGTTTTACTAATTGTGTGACTGGATTGAATGTGTGCTGCAATAAACAGAAACTCGTACATTATTCCATGTATTTAATAACATTTCATATGCACCAAATAGCTGAAACGAAGTCTGCTGATGTATCACATTTTACGTAGCAATATCCTTCTCTTTTCTAAAATTAGCTTTGAACGCTAGTCCGAAGAGATGGAACTAACGTTGCTCTCATACCATTTTAAGGTTTTACGTTCGCTAAATTTGACTTTTAGGAGATATTAACATCTATCAAGTATTAATTTCTTAATTCAATTATGGTCCTTGTTAAGTTCACTTTAGTAATATTTCCCCAATTTCCTTTTTCAATGTTATAATATCTCCAATGAGTTTCCAAACTATCATTATCTGTTTGGTTATTTGCACTTTAATATCCCAATGTTCCACTTATCAATTCTGACACCCTAAAGATCTCTTTTAAATATTTGATACCCCAAAGTTGAGAAATTGGCAATATAACACCCCCAACGCTAACTATATTCCTCACTTTCTCTAAGCTCAAAAAATGAAATTTTACAAGAAATTTTATTTCTTATTCACCCTTTCACATTGAGATTTCGAAATTTTATTTCTTAGTCACCCCTATTTTCACTCTCTTTTTTTATTTGATATGATGAATTTTATTTTCGGCATCAAATTGTCAAAAAAATAAAAATAAAAATTCATCATATCAAATAAAAAAAGAGAGTGAAAATAGGAGTGACTAATTTCAAATATTTAGAAGATTTTAGGGACCTACTGGCAATTTTAATGATTTGGGGGTCTAATTTCAAAATATTAAAGATTTGAGGACTAGTATAGAATAACACAAAAAATACACGAAAGGATATAATTTTGGATTTTCTTTTTCGGGCCTGTTCGGTTTGCTCAAAAAAATGAGAAAACACCCGCCACCTCACATTTCAAGAAATCCCCCATGTGTCACATAGGTTTTTGGTTTCAAGAGTTTTCCATTTCTTCAGTTTGGTTCGTTTTGAAATTTAGAGAAATGAAACGCCACGTAGGATGCCACATCACATTTTTAAGAAATGTGTTTTCACAATAAAAATCTCTGAAAACACTTGGAAATGTCAATTCAATGAATTTTTAATATTTAAAAGCACTGTTGGAACAATGAATAGAATTAAACAGATTATATAAATGTTTCCATTTCTCTTTCCTTTTTTTTTGTTCAAACGAACACAATAAATAGAAAACACGTGCACTGTTACTATTGCGGCTTCTTTTGTCTCTTTATGTGACTTGGCGGTTTCAATGGGTGATTTCTTAGCGAAACGAACACAAAAAATGAAATGTGGAAAAACTCTTGAAATGTCATGATATCAAATGAAATGTGATATTTCCATTTCTTGTTTTTTTCGGAAAACAACCGAACAGGCCCTTCATGGAAATCAACTTTGAAATAAGTCAAATTGACAGAAACCACATTTCAAGTGTTTTTTTATACTGAAACCACATCATAAGTGGGTTTATCTTTCAATCAACCACCCAAGAGTAATTTCTATACAAATTTTATTCTAATTATAAAAAAATGCCCTCCTCCTCCATTTTACTGTAGTTGTGGGTATTTTCGGTATTTAGGACAAAATTTAAACAGAAATGCTTTTTTATGGTTGAACCCACTTATAAAACGACTCTTGTATAAAACGGATTTTGTATAAATAAAAGATTAAAGCCCACTTATAAGACGGTTCTTGTATAAAAAACTTAAAATGTGGTTTCTATCAACTTGACCTATTTTAAATGTGGTTTTCATAAAAAATCTATGATTTTTTCATCAAATATGAATTAATGGAATGACAAAATTACTCTATTGGTATTTTTTGTAGACCCGCTTAGCCAATTTCGTATCTTTTGTAGCTCCGACGTCTTATTGTTATTTAAAGTGAACCAAATATGTAATTAGACCCTTTTATAAATCACCAGTAATTTTTTTTGAAATACAGTTTATTGAATCTTTACTAGTTTGATAGAAGCCCCTCAAATCACTGAAATTTAACCCTCACACCCCCCAAACCAGCGTCCGCCCGTCCTCCCCTTCTAACGCTCCGCCGCCTTCCCTTCCCCTTTTCATGTTTCTTGATGGAGGGAAGAGCTGTGGGTGA